CTTAGTCAACCGTATTTTAATTTTCAAAATAAAAAACATCTTTCCACGCGGGAAAAAAATACGACCCCACACGTAAATGACAACAAAACAACTAACAATCACGCACAACACCATGAGGGAACCAGAGGGTAAAATAGGGAAACAAATGATCGTAATTGGAACCAGGTGTGTGCAATATAGACAAAACAAGTAGAACACAGAAACATAGATCCGTGGCAGCTAGTACTCCGGTGACGACGAACACCGAAGCCTGCCCGAGCAAGGAGGAGGAGCAGCCTTGGCTGAATTCATGAAAAGAAGTTGATTTGTGTCGATTAAGAATCATTAAAAACATGAAGTGATTGTTTGTTGTGAGTACCTAGAAGTTCTAACGTTCTAGGTGGATTATGTGAATGTATGAAAATATGATGAATTTTATGTGTGTTTAGCGATTACAAGAGATTTGATAAAGTAATAATTGGAACATTATTAGCATACAATATGTTAACCCCAAAATGTAGACGTACGTCAGGGGTGGGAAACGATAAATACAAGTTTTCGTAGTTGGTGCTGTTGATGGATCATGTGATAGAGATAAGGTTTAAGGAATAAACTGCCCATAAGGACTGGAATTTTTAGACATAACATATAACATAATACAAAGCCAATTCAGGGTTTCCATTAAATCAATTATCATTGAGGAGCTATGGTGAGGAAGTGAAGGAATTTCATTATGGGATCAGATGTTAAGACGACAAACCATTGTAATTGGGCTATTTGTGGGATTTCTTTGTCATTTCAATAGCATTGAGTCAATGGCATAGAGTAAAATCTGCGTGTCTGAGTGTAATTCAACTGTTGGTATGTGTTGCTTAGACAGATACTGCAGCCAGTGTTTGTTTTGTGATTTAGACTGGAAGATTTAGCAGCTTGTTTCGTTCAAATTGAAAGACTCACGTATGCCACAGGAATATCGTGATGATTTCGAGGTAGTCATTTTTTTGAGTTGCCTAATGGTTTGCAAGCTTAAGCGACTGAGAATTGTGTTGTAATGTCAATCAATAGATTGAATATTAATAATATAGATATAAATTGAATGCATGATCGTCCAAAAACAGTAGATGTTTGTTTTACTACCTGTAGCCTAATCATAAAGGTAATTTACCTAGATCTGCTGACTTCTAATAATGGCAGATTGTTGGTTTCATAAGAGCTGTGGCTATGATCTTAGTTGATAACAGGGAAAATAAGAATATAATACCGAAGCACAGGAAAGTCAGTGTGTTATCTTAATGGGAAGTGAAGCAAGGGGACAAAGAAAATAAAAAGAGTATTAATAACACAAGGGATAAAAACACATTGTTGAAAAGAAGCAGAGTATGAAGATATATTAGGGAGAGCGATACCATTAACTGAGGAATATAAAAACTTTTTGATGAGAAAGCTAACAGAAATAATTTACCTTGCATCCTAACAGAGACACTGAACCAAAACATAAAGCTAATACAGCAATCTAGGATTTTGAAAGTTGTCAAGTTAGTTTTTAACCCTACGATAGAGGTAAACGCGGAACACTGTTTGATAATGGGTTTTATTTTTGTCTACTAGTAAGAATGGAAGAGTTTCCATGTTTTTGTCTGCGGTTGTTAGCGACTGGGGCTCGCTGAACTCGAGCGGGCTGTAAGGTACATAATGGGTTATGTTTGGTGTATTGGGATCACTGGTTGCTGCAGAAAAGGAGGAAGTCAAAGGGGGGTGAGTGTAACCGGTGTGAAATGGCTAGCTACTTAGCGGTGCGAACTAGTAGCGTTTCGATTGGTGACGTAACTCGCTCTGAGACCTTGAAGTAGTTGTTTACCTTGCTCTGCAAGGGATGCGGCTTTTGTGGAGCGATGGTGCTTTGAGGGTGACTGTTGTCTATGAGTGCAGAGGGTCCCTGGTTCAAGCCCAGGTTGGGCGAGGAGAGGGACGGAAGCAAAACTGTTACATTGATGCTGTTGACCCGTATCACTGGTTGCATTGATTAGATTATACGAAAGGGATTGTCCTACCAATCCATGGCGGCATAGGATAACATAGTAATTAAAGTAGCCTCCCTGTGAAGATGTTTTGTTTGTATTGACTATAATTAAACAATAATTAGTCACCTGCTAAAGTAACATTGGATGGAAAGACAGAGGAAGAGAATAATAGAGATTGTAGAGGGTTTTCTGGGTTAAAAGGAAAGTGGGTTAATTGGGAAATGAGACATGTCGAATTGGATTGTTTGAGTAGACTAGTATTAAAATAATGCCTTCTAGTAATGTAAATGCAAATATGTTATTAAGTAGTAGTGGTTTGTGGATATAATTTACTAATGCCATGATTTAGTCTGCGGGTGAAAGAGAGTCGTGCTCGCTGGGCTATATCGGGATGTAAAGGACGCA